TGAACAAATATCAATTGAAAGAATGAGCTAACCTATAATGGAACACTTTTTATGAGTGTTGGAAAATGGGACACAGTGCAAGCGCAAGGACGCATTTTGTTGTTTGGGGTGATTTTGCTGTTAGTTTTCTCCAAAACTATACCGTAAAATGCCTTGAAAATAAATACAATGATAGACAGGCTCACTTTGAACAAATATCAATTGAAAGAATGAGCTAACCTATAAAGGAACACTTTTTATGAGTGTTGGAATATGCGGAAATAATCAAAGTGCAACAATGGAGTTTGATGTTTTGGGTGATTTTGCTTTTAGTTGTCTCCAAAACTATACAGTAAAATGCCTTGAAAATAAATACAGCGATAGTCAGGCTCACTCTGAACAAATATCAATTGAAAGAATGAGCTAACCTATAAAGGAACACTTTTTATGAGTGTTCGAATATTGGACACAGTGGAAGTGCTAGGACGCATTTTGTTATATACACACACATATACATATATTTTATATATATATATATATACACATACATGCAGACACACACACACACACACACACAAACATTAAATAAAAAAAGCAATGAATATAACAATGAACAATGAATATAAAACATTAATATGAACATTTATAAATATTTATAATAATTAATGTACAATACAAACGTTTATGTAAAAAAATAATGTCAAACTAAAAATAAAAGGTAAAATACAGGTAAGCTAATTATAAAGGAAACGTCGGTATGACAGCTTCTTTACATGCATTTTGACTGCTCTCAGCACCCGTACCGTAAGTACACAATTACACGCGCATGACAAAAAAAAGTGCGGCTGGCTTGACCGCAGTCCGCAGGACGGCGAATCTCTCGGCCTCGAGCGAGCAGATCGTGACGGGACAATGCCGACTCACAGAGATGTCAGATTTCGCAGTGTCATTTTGTTATGTAGGCTATTCATATAACGAATAACAACAACAATCTTATGTCCTCTGTCGCATCCATAAAAAAAATACTACTATATACAGTAAACAGAGTATACATCTACTCAGTACAGTGCAAATAAAGACCGCCTCTCCGGCTGAAAACCCTGTTACAGCATCCGGTGACACAGATATGAGAGAAAAGTGATAACAAGCAGGAGACTCGTGAAAGCGATTCTAATGAGGGGGAATACATCTGCAGAATACGCCAGGTTTTGGTAAACTAATGCATTAAGAGACCTATGCGCAATAATCTGCACGTTATTTAGGGTAAGTTTGATCATGTATATTGTGCTAAATTACGCTTTCTTGGATGGAAAAAAACCAGTAGGCCTAGCAGCTTTCCACAGACCACTACAAGAACTAAAACAACTCAACTAATCTGAATATTGGGGGAAATTATTACAATATCAGAATATGTCGATTTTGGAGAAATTTGTGGCCTTTCAGTTAACAAGATGAAAAATCCACTGACCGAGCGACTACAGGTTGAAGAGTGTTTTTTTTTTTATGAATCTTGTATTTATTTTCATGAAATGGCAGTATCAACATACACAATGCAATTTGTTATCCAGCAGCATATATTTTTGCTATGGACACACAAATAATATCTGTTATTTATTTAATCCTTGCTGTAACATGGCAGAGACAAAATGGCACCGTGTTTTTCATTATGAAACTCAAAAATGTTTCTATGCACCTCCTCCTGCATGTGATCGGAAAGAAGACGCTTCTAAACAAAGCCTATTTTGGATATGTTTTGAATGGAGTACTAGCCTACTGCTTACTGCATTTTGCAAGCGTCATGCCACTTTTAATAGTAAGACTTTTAGTGAGAGGTGCTAACTGCACTGTATATAATCAATTATCATTGAGCCCCAACCCATTGTAAATGCTTTCAGCAGCGCTGATTAATACATTTAGTCAAAAATATACTAGTAATAGTACAATATTGCGTTACTCCATAAAAAAGTAACTAATTACGTTACTTAGTTACTTTTTATGGAAAGTAATGCGTTACGTTACTTTTGCGTTACTTTTTAAATCTGGACAGGGCGTGCTTGTTTGATTTTAAAATAAAAAAGTTATATTTTTGGCAAATATTAAAGCTTTTCACACCAAAAGTGAAATGAATAAGCCTCAGGCTGAAGGGAAAGTAAATTTACGTCCGTACAGTAGAATGCAGAAGAAGACATTTCAACACACTTCAGCAATAAACAAAGACACACAAATGTTTGTCTAGAGTAATGTTTGCTTATTAGTACGCTTGAATTGGATCATCGAAGCTCAGAAGCAAAGACATTGGTTAATAGCATGGGATTAAATACATAACGCATATTTGTGTTGTTTAACATTTAATTATTGCAGGTTTGCGTCATATTTTGAGTTGCATTATTTTAATTCATTTTGAGGAATACTGAATCTGTGTTTTTTTTGTGTGAGTGAGATGAATTCATGCATATTCATATTTATTTTAGAACAACAGTAACATCTTCTGATTTCTCTCGACATGGCGACAGGAGAGCTGTCAATCAATACATTGAAAAAGTAACTCTATTCGTAAAACTCTATTTGTAAATTAAAAAGTAATGCGTTACTTTACTACTTACTTGAAAAAAGTAATCTGATTACTTGCGTTACTTGTAATATATTACCCCCAACACTGGTAATAGTTTGATTAAATTTATATTTGCAAGAATATTTAAAAATTGCTGAATTAGTTTTACATAACTGATTGAATGTTATGTACTTCCACCCACATCTGTAGATCATTTTAAAAGAGGGCAGCTATGGATGGGGCTGAAGAGAAGTCATCCTCTGCTCGGCATTATCGTGTTGTCTTACTGGGAAAAACAGGAAATGGGAAAAGTGCTACTGGAAACACCATCTTGGGAAGAAAAGCTTTCCTTTCAAAGTTAAGCTTTAAAACTGTAACACAAGAAGTTAAATATGAAAGCATCAACATAGATGGAGCGAATCTTACAATTTATGACACACCAGGATTATTTGACCCTGACAATGAACTGAGCCCTGAAGAGATGTTATATCAGGGGCTTCCAGAGTTATATACGCCAGACCCACTTGTGATTCTGCTGGTGATCAGACCTACAAGATTCACTCTAGAAGAGAAAAGAACCGTTGAGATTATTGAAGATTATTTGAGGGGCGGGCTCGTAAAGAACACCTGGATCATATTCACTGGAGGAGATGAGCTGGAGAGAGAAGGTCTCACCATAGAGGATTTAATAGAAGAATCAGAGGATCTGAAAAAAGTTGTTCAGAAATTTGACAACAGATACTTTGTGTTTAATAATGTCACACAACATCCTGAACATCATGAAGTGAAAAAACTGATTAAAGCCATTAGAAATGTTCAACCTCTGAGATGTAAGTAGCAGTTCATGCAATTGTGTTTTTCTATTATTATATTGAGTTACTTAAAATAATTGCTCAGTATAATTACTTATTATTACATATTATAGACATTTTCATCCCTTTAGGCACACAATATTGTTAGTGAAATGATTATATTCATAATATGAGAGAGCAATGGCTATTCAATTTTGATTTATTATTATTATTAATATTTATTTTATCATGATTATTTTATTTCTTCTTTTTCCAATGTT